CAACTTTATTTGCAATACAGCTATACGGTACGCTTCCATCCACCTTCCGCTTCGAAGATTTCACCGACCTTGCTGCTGACGGCGAGCAACCGTCTATCGTGGTAGCGAGGCGCAACAAGCGATACCCCGATTGGCATCCCGTTCTCGCCCTTGAAACCGGGAACGTTTACTACTGGTGTGTGCAGTGCCTGCGCGCGTATTAGTCAAGTTCTCTACATCTGAACACAGATATGACTTACCGTCCAGATCAAACAAAACGCCGCACTGCCTGTCTTCTCAATACCCAGCGGTGCCTCATCCGGCACACTTGGTGTAAGTACCGCAGCGTATCTGCCAAGTATCTCATCGACAACCGGCCTTGCTGCCGCAATCTTGTCGAAAGCTTCAAGCTGCGCTTTGCGCGAGATCTTCCCGCTGTTCTCAACGTGGTCGACGAGCTGTTCCGAGATCTTATCCTTGGCCACCGTGTATTCTGGAAGAAACGCAGTTCGGCCGTCAGAGTTGAGTACGGCCGCGTGCCACGCCGGAAGATCGTTCAGGTCATCTGGTAAGCTTATCTCCTCAACCTCGGCTCCATGCGCGCGAAGTAGCGAGACGGCTTTGTCAAGTGCGGTGGAGGTGCCAGGGCCGACGTTCGGCCAGACCATGGTTTTGAGAAGGGCAAACTTCGCGCCTTTTACTGTGAAGTCTTTTGGAGGTGGCGCATCGTCGTGAATGGCGAATGTATCGGCGAGAAGTTCTAGATCAGCCACGCTACGCGCGTAGAGACCCAATGTGTCCAGAATCAGAGAGTAGATCTTTTGGCCTTCGCGAGTAATAGAGTTCCATGTGGGCTTGAGGGCATAGATGCCATTGTACGAGCCAGGGCGAATAGTGCTACCACCAGTTTGGGTACCTAGGCCGATAGGTGCTTGGAAATCGCCTACTGCGGCACCGGATCCGGATGAAGAGCCACCAGGTGTGCGTTTTGAGTCGTGCGGGTTTCGTGTCTTTGGGCCTGTGGTTGTCGCAGCAAACTCGGTCGTGGTTGTTTTGCCGAAGATGAGTGCACCGCTCTTGCGCAGTATCGCTATGGAGCCAGCGTCTACTTGGGGCGCATCATTGGCATATATGGGTGAGTTGAACTGTGTTGGCATTTCTGTTTTGGTTAGTCAAGTTGGATGAGAGAGTCGTACTTGCAGCTCACCCTTGGTGTAAATGACATCTTTGACAGCAATAGCTACGCCGTGGAGAGGACCGCGTTCGGCTTGTGGAATGGCATCAAGTGCTTTTGCCTGTTTGATGACATATTCGGGGTCGAGGTATGCCCATGCTTGAACAGCTTCGTCACGTGCTTCGATACGTCCGAGGAGTGATCTTGCGTACTCTTCGACTGAGGTCTCGCCCGCTTTGATCTTGGCCGAGATCTCGGTGGCTGTGAGTTTGTAAAGATCTGAGCTCATGGCTTCTTACAATTCGGTGCTCGTAGGAATTGTTGGTGAGTAGATGCTGGAAGGTATTCCCGTTTTCCTTTCTCAGGTTGGTTGTAAAGTCAAAAAGAGGAATTGGAGAAGTGGTCTTTGAAGCCGTTGGAGTTGGAGACACATCCAGATGCCGAAGGCAGCGACCTGTCAGCGTCAGCGATGCCATCGGCCCAAAAAGCCCGCATCGTGATAGGGAGCAGTTGCGTGTCCCGTCGAGACCCGCTCATAGGCGATAGCCAAACACTTGCCTAACAAGGATATACCGGTTGTACTAATAAGTTGGAGCCGATAACGGCATCCCACTTTTTCGGAATGCTGGTTCCGATCGGAACTGTTCAGTCCATGTCGGTACTAGGAAACACGTGAACAACATCACACCTGGGCAGTTCACATGTCCAGCCGCCTGATCTCCGTCTCAACTTTATGAGATCATAACAAGGCTAATCAAGTGTCGTAGTTGCTTAGTAGAATATCGTCTAAGACTATGGTATTGCAATTACATGATGTGAGTACATGGTTTCGATTCTTTTACAATCTAGGTTGTTGCTCTGAGCTCAAAAGGTGACCTTTGGCGACTTCTCGCCAATCTCAACATCTTCGCCTCCGTCGGTCATTGGTGGCGTTGAGGCGCCATAAATGACACCATCATCCCTGTCTCCGTCGAAGAAGCCCTCGCGGCCGTCATTGGCTAGCCATTCCCGTTGGAAGGGCGTGCTCTCGCGTCCAACAGGGAACACACGCGGTTTGACGAAGCAGGTGATGACGAAGTAGACCGTCGCCGCGGTGAAGAAAGTTAGCAACCAGCCCATGCGGTACATGTTCTGCGCAGCTGCGGAAATGATCTGTGGCTCGTACTGGCCAATAAGGCCGGGAATACCCATAGTTGTACCAAGTAGCCAGGCTGCCACACCACTCCAGTTGACACCGGACCAGTACCAGTAGAGACCCGTCTTCTTGCCATCATAGCACGATGGTATATGTATGTTTCCTTTGCGCGCGATGTAGTAGTCGACAATGATGACGGCGCAAAGAGGGGCCATGAAGATGTTGTAAGAACCCAAGAAACTAATTCATCGTTAGCGTGGTGAGTGGGAAGCCTATTGGGGAACTTACCTCAAGAAGGCCGATGCGTTCTTCATCAGTTGCCATGGTTGTACGACGACACCAAGAATGGCGCAAAGTACTTGTCCACGGCGAATGGTGAGCCACTTGGGGAAAAGGCCAGTCATATCACTTCCGAATGGAATTGAGTTGGCTCCAAAGTTCGTGGCGAAGACACCGAAGTAAAACGCCAAAGCAACGAAGAAGATCCCCGCACGCGCTCCGGCGCCGAAGTGGTGGTCAAGGATGGCTTCGAAAAGATCCCAGATGTTCCAGTAGGCAACACCATATGCTGCTTGCATGGAAGTGGTTGAGGCCATGCCAAGGAAGAAGACAATGATGGAGGACACGAAGACGCTGACACCTTGAGTCACACCAGCATCCCGAGGCTTCTTGCAGTAACGAGCAAGGTCAGGCTGATTGACCAACATGGGCGATAGAGAACCGAAGATGGTGTTGATACCAGCCATGATGCTCCATCCCAAAGGAGTCACTGAGGCGGCAAGCTCGCCTTCGCTGGAAGCAAGGTCCATAGCGCCGAGTCCTCCACCGTTAGCCATGCACCAACCGAAGATGGCAAAGGCGGCGATTGGCATGATGAACCCCTTCACAGTGAAGATATAATGGATGTGTCTTGGGTGGACCCACATGAATGGAAACTCCATCAGCCAGGCCATGAAGAAAGCCAGAAGCTGCTTCGAGGTGACACTTGCGGTAGGCGAGAGTGTGTTCGTGAAGTTTTGCCAGGAACTGCCGAAGATGCAACGGAGCATGACCGAGAGGATGTTACCGGCGTAGAAGGACTGAATTCCGTACCAGATGATGCATACGATCGCTCGAATGAAGACGAAGAAGTAGGAGCCGTACATGCCCATGACTGAGCGTGCAATCACAGGGAATCCGATGTGGTACTTGGCACCTGGACGAGCCATAAGGACGACTACGACCGCTGCTAGGAAAGACCCAAGGCAGGCTGATACAAAGGATTGTTGCCATGTCTGTTCATGCAATTAGTCCTTGAATTCTACTTGCATGCTTCGAAATAGCCTACCAGACCGACTGTGACAAGAGCAGAGCCTGTATTCCAACCAACGAGGGAGAACTGATTCGAGAACCAATACAAGGGCAGGTTGAACCTTCTTTGTCAGTAGAAGCTCAAACATATGCGCCGTGAAGGAACTCACCAGGTCCAAGTCCTCTGTTCTACAGGCGTTGGCTCGAGATCTTTGTTGGACCATCTCTCGTCGCCGATCGGGGTGTGACCGTCGTTGCCTTGAGGGGACCGGATGAAGTCGACGAAGGCCTCTTTCGAGCGAAAGGGCGCCGCAATCTGGTCCTTGGTCGGAAGTTGGACTTTCCCCATGGTGCTGTAATGGTGTGGTTTGGTTGACTACCGGGTGTGGTCAATCCTCCAAATCCCCTTCACGTCGGCGGACTGTGGTGTCTCATATGGCGATCGGACGTCACGCCAACTCCAAGTCGTTCACGTATCGCACGCATATCGGGCTATGATTGACCACGGGCATGGCTTCTGGCGCAGCCTCTTCGGGCACTTTCTAGCCGATGTGCCATGTTGCCATGCGCGCATCAGTCATTCCCAAGCCTGACATCAGCGTGAGCGGTGCGATAAAGAACAGGGGTGAAGATAGGAGGAGGATGTGAACTCCGATATGTTGCTCGTTATGGCGTAGTTCCTTCGCAATCTTTGGGGTCTCCAGGAGCCGGATGAGTGCAGCCGAGATAAAGCCACTGGAGGCCCGTGCCATCTTAGCCTGTTGTGGATAATTCGCGATAAGACACACGTCGGCTCACACATCCCACCTGGGCCTCAACGGGACTATCGCACGTGGGAAATATGGAGCGGAACGGTATGAATCAGAGCCGAAAGCTGCAGGGCTGTCGCATCAACGCCATACTCCTGACGACGAGGCCATGTTGCAGTCCTACCCAGAGAGCCCCGTAAGCCCCTCCTCCGGTCGGGGTGTGGGAACGGCCGCAGACGCAGTACCCGCATCCAATTCTCCGAAGGAAGCTCAGTCGAACGCCTCAAACCCAGGTCCTGCGACTAGGAAATCTCGGGTGGCTTTGGCCTGCAAAAGATGCAAACGGAGAAAGCAGCGTGTACGTCACGTGGGACGTTGCTTCATGCATCTTGGCTAAGAATCATGTAGTGTGACGGTGCGCATCCAGTCTGCAGATCTTGTCAGCGAGCTGGCGTAGCCTGTGCGTATGAAAGGACTATTCGTCCTCAGTACCCCGGCGGCAAGTCTGTGTAGGTTCTTCCCACGGTCATTGACATGCGCACGAACTGTTTCCTGACTTCTCAGCTATATCAACGCCCTGGAAGAGCGGATCGCTTTTCTGGAGGCCCGTCTTCCTGACCATGCAGAGGACCATTATGAAAACGGCCCAGAAACTTTGCAAAGAACATCTTCCATGAACGTTGAGGAGCCGGCGCTCGCTCTTCCAACCCAGTCTAGTGCATCGCGTCGCGAATCACGAGATGACTGTTTCTCTGAGGATCTTGAGGGTGAGGATCGTACCTCACTCGTCGATGGCGTTGCGTATCTCTCTTTATGTGCATCTGGTACCACAGACACAACCTCAGAACCTTACTATGTCGGCTCTAGCTCCGGCGCTACCATTGCTCGCATCATTCAGTCCTCCATCTTCCGAAGTTCTGGCAAGAGAGCAGCCACTCTGCCAGTGAGCCAGCCCTGCCAGGCCACGGGAACTTCGCGACCTCCTGCACCTCCCGAGTTTACTCACTCCGATGAGCCTGTCGCGGATTTCCCAGATCGACAGCAGGCGCGCATGCTGTTTGACGTGTTCTTCGAACGTATTCATACACGGTGGCCATTGCTAGACCGTGTAGTCTACACAAAGCTCTTCGACAAGCAATTTGTGCGAGGTGCCCTGACTATTATTGAACGCAGCATTTTCCATCTCATATATGCCATCACTGCTCGATTCCTGTCGTTGACGCGGAAGCCATGTGGGGTGGATTCTGAACATCACCTTGTCGCGGCCACCGAGCCAATGGATTACATCCTAGACCAGCACAACCTCGCTACAGTGCAGTTCCTCATCCTGCTTGGAGTGCATGGTCAGAGATCTCCATATGGTGCAGGCGCCTGGTCCCAGATTCGATATGCGACCTCTGTCTGCATTGAGATGGGCTTACACAGAAAGAAGGTCACAGGCTCTCCTGAGCTTGCAAGAGATGCTGAACTGCGGCGGCGTGCGTTCTGGGCGTGTTACTGCCTGGACAGAGTGACTAGCATTGTGCTCGGTAGAGCTTTTGCTATCGCTGACCGAGATATCAACGTCGAGGTACGTCACCCAAGTAGACTGTGATATGTGAACTGACTCTTCAAGTTTCCCAGTACTAGTCCTGAGTTCTGGACACTAACGCATCCGGAAGAGCCAGACTCTGTCAGGCCCCAATGGTCAAATATCGAGCCTTTCATACACATCATCAAGCTTGATCAGATCCAGTCGCGAATTCATAAGACAGTCTTCCGTGTTGATAGAGATGTCTTCAACGGGACGCCAGAACAGCGGGCCAAACTTGACCGGAAGATGGCCACCATTCGGAGCGACCTGGATGAATGGCTACGAACATATCCACAGACACCGAAGAACGGGAACAAGATTACGTGGATGTACGATCCCGAAAGCGCATATCTCGATGCGCGAGACTTTTATGGCGTTCAGTATCACAAAGCGATGCTCTATCTTTTCACCGTCTTTCTTCCCACGTTGGACACGTCAGACATACGCTTCCTGACTTGCGCGCGCTCTGCTGCTTGTGTCTGCAACGCCTACAAACGGCTAAGCCAAAATCGTACGCTCACATACACGATGATCTCGCTACATTCATGCTTTGTAGCTGGCTTGACACTGGTGTACTGCATCTGGCGAGATCGATCCCTTTTCTCATACGACGTTCTCGAGGCGACACGGGCCTGTTCTCAGATCCTGACTATCTTCGGTGAAAAGTGGCCCGGTGCTGTCAAATACCGCGATATCTTCGATGCGCTATCGGGAAGTTTATTTAAGACGATCGTAAACTCGGCGCCTACTACCATGATGCATAGCAATGGTTCGCGACCGCTGCAGCTCGACGTGGACGCGGAGCCTTCCATGGCAGGACTTTCGCCAAGAAGCCGACGAGATAGCCGCGAGCAGGCGTCGCATCACCCCACGCTGGGCAGTAAGCCTACCATGTCACACATGGTCACTGACGCTGTAAAGGAGGCGTTCATGGAAGTGGACGAGGAGGCGCCAGGTGGGTGGCAGGGTTGGCGGATGTGGAATGAGATGGTAAGCGACGACGCCGCATCTGTAGCAATGAGGTTCGATGGCTTTGGCCAAGGCCAGAGTGAGATGAGCTGGAATGCTTATGAAGGGTCGGGTCTTTACGGCGTGGACCCCATTCAGGATGCAGCCATGTCGATGGATAACCGCGGTATGATGGATGGCAGTCAGTGGAATTTTGGAGAGTATAGATAGGCGATGTCATGGCTTTTTTCCTGAAAGGTTCCAGTCACTGTTGTCTCATGTGCGCAAATGACCCCGAGTTTAACGTTGAAACAGATTAAAATGACTATCTACGCGAGCTGACCCTTCTTGTAAGGGAACTGCTCCCTGAACGACTCCGCTATTTGCGTCCTAGTCGCAACCCAAACACCCTCCTTCTCCGAGATGTACTTGACGAAGTCCTGGAGCGCCTTGAACCTTCCCGGCCTACCGATGATACGGCAGTGCAGACCGATGGTCATCATCTTCGGCTCTCCAGCCTCGCCCTCCTCATACAGCACATCGAAAGAGTTCTTCATGTGCTCGTAGAACGCAGCCGTACTGCGGAAACCAGTTCCCTGGCAGTGGAATTTGAAGTCGTTGCAGTCGTAGCTGTAGGGAACCATCAAGCATCCCTTGGGGTTTGCGCTGCTGCGCTCTTGGGGAAGGTCGGTCCAGTAGGGTAGGTCATCGGCGTAGCAGTCTGAGGCCCAAAGAAGCTCCTCGCCCATCTCTTCGTACACAAGTGGGATGAGCGCTCTGCTCTGTGGTGATGGACGGCCATAGTACCATCCCTTTGGTGCATAGCCGGAGAGCTTCTTCAGCGACGTGATACCATCCCTGATGTGCTGTTTCTCGGCCTCGACGGAGAGATTGGCATGATCGATCCAGCGGTAGGCATGAGAAGCAACATCGTGGCCCTCTTCCACACACCGAGTAACAACTTCAGGCTGTTCTTCGACGGCGGAGCCAACGGCATAAAGGGTGAACTTCATCTTGTAGTCGTTGAAGAGCTTGAACATGCGCCACCAGCCGCGGCGGGAGCCGTATTCGAATTCTGATTCGCCGCTGTAGTCGCGCTCGTTGATCCTGTGTTGAGCTGGGTATTCGCGGAGGTTGATCTCGGATACTCCGTCGCCTTTCATGACTGAGCGCTCACCACCCTACAGCTTGTTAGTTGTGCATTTGAGATACGAGTGCGTGTGAACTCACCTCCTCATAGTTGATGACGAAAGATACTGCGATTTTGGCATTGTTGGGCCACTTCAAGCCCTGTAGACCCTTCTCGCCGTAACCCTTGAAGTTACGGGGGAAGGCGTAGTCGGGAGGTGCGGCGTAGACTTCAGGCATGATGACGATGTTTGAAGAACGATAAGCTTGATTTGATTACAGAAGATGTGATAGATCTGAAGTAGAAAACACCCAAGTCTCGCGATGCAACATATATGTATCACCAGCGGAGCATGTCGCGGCGGCCATCCTGCAACGCCTACCTGGCTATCGGCCATTCTCATCCGTGACGTCCTCACGTAATCGGCCATCTCCCATCCTCTGCCGTGTTTCACGATGCGATGGCATTCCTGCGGCCGGCTGTGACCCACCGCGGTGTTATCAGACGGATGAATGTTTATCGGCTTGGAAGAAACCGCATGGAGAACATGGCCTGGAGGGGGATCGTCGATAGATAGGCCAATCTCAAGTCGCCGATAACGACCGGCCTTTGTGGGGCTGCACCGACCTACCTAAGTTGGCATACCAAGGATTCAAGACCAGGTTGAGTTGGAGACAGTTCTCGAGTAAATAGATAGTGGGAGATGGGTCTTGCTGCGGGGTAATGTTGCGTTCAAGTTCCGAAGTCGCTGTTCTACATGCGACAGCCCCGTTCAATGGTCGCTTCCCTCAGTTGATTCTTGGCCATCAGGACAGCGTAAGAGAAAGGCGAATACAAGGACATGCCACTCATGGACAACACCAGAATACATACGTGCGGCTTGTAGGGCTTGCTCTGATAGTGGAATACTTTGATGGCTACTGCCTACGCGATTCTCATCTCCTCTTCGGGTAAGCATGATGTGTGCTTCAAACTTTTGATATATGTCTATGAGACTTGGTAATTCTACAAGTCAACAAGGCGCGAACAATTACTTCGCAAAGTCATCCTTGAGCCCTGATGAAATGCTATATGATCGCTCATCTTGAGTGAACGTTGCGTTCTACGTCAGCCTCCCCTGTCATTGGCCTCTTCTCATCAAAGACCTCCCCTTCCGACTCGACTTCTCGACCTTGGATGACTTGCTGCTGAATTTCGTCCTGCGAGTCCATCGGCTGTCCTCCTTCTTCGTCCGGCTTTTTCGGCGCTTTCAAGCTGGTGTTCCCAACCCAGAACGTCAGAACCAGACCGAGACCTGAGCATACTGTGAAAAAGATGAAGATGTAATGCAAGCCCAGCATGTAGGTGTCAAAAACCTCTTCTTTCTGATCCAGAGTGAGGCCAAACTTATCGAGGTCGTACGTTGAGGAAGTCAACTGGGCCATTAGGGTATCCGAAACAAAGGGCCGCTGGGACAAATCTCTGCTGAGCGTATTCGAAAGGATGACTCCCGAGATGACGAGACCAAAAGCGCCACCGATAGTGCGGATGAAGTTGCGTAACCCAGTTGTCACAGCGCGATCCTCATTGCGACTGTTGGCGTACATACCCACAAGGGTTGGTTGAAGCGTCAGACCAATACCGGCACCCTCGATGATGAGTACGACAATTAGCACAGCGAGACCCGTGTCTCGGTCGAATAGTAGGGTGAGGCCACTCCCAAGAGTCCACAGAGCAAATCCGGCCAGGATGCAGTGCATGTAGCTGGCGACTCGGTTCATGTACTGACCGGATGCGATGGACGCGAATGATGTCGTGATGACTACCGGTAGGATCAAAGCACCTGAAACTAAGGGCGAGTACCTTAGAACCGATTGGAAGTAGATTGGAAGGTAGAAGAAGTTGCCGAAGTACGCGAGACCGATGAGAAACGTCTGTAGATATAGTGCCCAGCAGTGCGGCGCGCGATATAATCGAAGTGGCATGATCGGGAGAGCGACAAGTTTCCATTGGTGAAGCACAAATAGTACACCTAGCACGGCGCCGGTGACAGTGCAGGCGATGAAGAAGGGAGATCCCCATGCATATGTCACACCACCTCCTGACAAGGGGATGAGCAGGAGCAAGGTGGATGCAATGTTCAGCACCATGCCGCCATAGTCAATCTTCTTGACCTTTGCGAGGTAGTCACCAGACCGATGCTTGAGCGGTAGGAAGAACAGTATGACCATGGAGGTGGGTACAGTCATGATGGGTATTATCCAGAATACCCATCTCCAAGTCGCTCCTTCGACGATAGCGCCTCCAAGAAAAGGTCCTGCACCGTTTCCCAGGGCAATTACTGCACCCAGCCATCCTAGAGAAGAATGTTAGCATTGCTTGATCATGAGATACGCAACGGTACATACCTTGATATTTACCCCGATTCTGCAACGTTGTGATATCGCTAACGATGATCATGACAAGACTGTTGATGCCGCCCCCTCCGATACCAGCAATGGCACGGAGAACGAATAGCTGCACTGAAGTCCGCGCGAAACCACATCCAAGGTCGCCCAGAGCCATCAACATAAGACTGATCAGCAAAAGGTTCTTGCGGCCAAATATATCCGACAAACGGCCATTGATCAGCTGGAACGCCGTCGACGCAATTAGGAACGATGTACCGATCCACGATGTTGCTGTCCCTGTGTTCAGATCCACAGCGATCGCGGGTGTTGCTGTTGAGACGCTGGTTTGGTCGATGAACGAAACGAAGAGACAGACTGACAGTGCGGGGATTGCGATTCGAAGTTGTGTCGAAGTCATGGTGTTCCTTTGGCCGCCGATGGATGCTGCGTCGCTATTATCGTCGTCTTCATCCTCTTTCATCGTAGGCGAAGGGGATGCGCCATGAGGATTCGTCGTAGGTATGTCTGAATCGCATGGCTTCTCGTCTCTGGATGGCTTCTTAACGAGAGTATGGCCAACGCATGTATCGCTCTCTCTGATGGAGCGCGTCGATTTTATCTCGTCAATGGAGGTTTGCTGTTCCCGCATCATCGGATTCTTCCACAGTCGCTACAAGCCTCAAAAACATAGCGATTCTGCGTATGTGTATATCTGGAACAAGACCAATGGTCCCAAACATCGTAGCTAGCGTTGGAGTTGGGCGTGGAGCCCCGGGAGGCTGCCCGAGCGGGACTGAGCCCTGCCATGACGCCCGTCGACAGCTGCGAGATCGTCGGGAGGTGTGTTCCTCGTAGAGGAATTGCGAAAGCAGCCAGTCACAGTTGAGGGGCCCACTCACATGGTAGAAACGCTTACACGCTTCGATGGCGTAAGTGGCATTATGGGATGAAAGCCGATGACGGTGAGGCTGCGAAGTGGGTCGTCTTAGCAGGGCACGTGCGGGGCCTTCTCATCGGAACTTTTTGAGCCGACGCACTTTCGGCCCCTGGGGCCCTTCGCCGATGGTTGTTCGTATCGACATCGGATCATAACGCTGAAAACGGAATTGAAGGTATTCAGGCGAGTTCTCGGCATCACGGCTGAGACTGACAGATGCCATGTGTCAGGTGGGGTTTGCGAGGCTGCCCAGGTGGGTTGCCGATAACGACCATGGTGACCCATCACAAGGCTTGGGCAATGGCCATAATATGTGTGGTAGACACAGCCATACACGCTCTAAAGAGCAACGAAGCATTGATACTGTAGGCCATTACAGTTCTTGCGAGACTACTTGATCAGTTCCTACCTCGTCTTCTGTTGTACCAACATCGACTGCCAAGATGACGAAACTCTTCCAACCATTGACAGTCGGAGATGTGAAGTTGGGACATCGTGTCGCTATGGCGCCGTTGACCCGGTATCGCATGGGCGACGACTACAAGGCGACGCCCATGAACAAAGGTACCTTGAACACCGTCACTATGAAGGGCCGATATTGACCAAGTATCGCAGAGTATTATGAGCAACGAGCATGTGTACCAGGCACCCTTATTGTCAGCGAAGCAACCATCATCTCCAGGAACGCCATCGGCGCCCAAAATGCTCCAGGGATATGGCAAGAAGACCACATCGCTTCCTGGAAAGACATCACGTCAGCAGTACATGCTAAAGGATGTGCGATATACTGCCAACTCTGGCATCAAGGCCGTGCCGCAAGGACCGATGCGCTGGACGCAGAAGGCATCACGTTGGCGTCATCCAGCGCTGTGCCCATCACACCCGAAGACCGAACACCAGTAGAGATGACAGAGGAGATGATTTGGGAAACCATAGCAGACTATGCGAATGCAGCCAAAAACGCAATTGCTGCGGGTTTTGACGGCGTCGAAATCCACGGTGCTAACGGCTACCTACCGGATCAGTTCCTCCAAACGACTTGCAACCAACGGACCGACAGCTGGGGAGGAAGCATCGAGCAACGCGCGCGATTCCACCTTGAAGTCACCAAGGCTGTCATCGCTGCCGTTGGTGCTCAAAGAACAGCAATGCGCCTCAGCCCTTACAGCGACTTCAACGGCATGCTAATGGACGAGCCCGAGCCGACTTTCGAATACCTCACTGAAGAGCTGAAGAAACTGGGTCTGGCTTACCTCCACCTGATCGAAGCCCGCATCACTGGCAATGATGACTCTGAATGCGGAGGCCAGAAGACTGTACAGTGGATGGTTGAGCAATGGGGCAACGCGAGTCCAGTCATGCTTGCAGGTGGTTTCCTACCCGACTCAGCGAAGCAGACTGTTGATGAGACGTACAAGGACTACGATGTCATCATTGCGTTTGGGAGATATTTCGTGGCCAACCCCGATCTTGTGTTCCGCGTCAAGGAGAGCGTACCACTAGTCAAGTACGACCGCTCTGTTTTCTACACTCCAAAGACGCCGAAAGGGTATATCGACTACCCGCATAGTCAGCAGTACTTGACAGCGATGGCGAAGGTTTGACATAGATATGCTTTTGATACCAATTTTACGTGTACTTCCCCATGCCCAGTTTTCTCTCGATTAGTTGTGAAGCGCGAGCAAGATCTACTACACTATGCTCTCAAGTGACGTCAAACGCCATGCTGCTAATACATCGAGAGCTAGCCTGGTCGCATGATAGTCTGACAGTACGAGATAGCCTGTACATTAACATATTTTCAGCTACCACAAGGCCTTCTTTGACCTTGCTGGTCCTTCAAATCTCATCTGTAGGTAAATCCGAGACTCTCGGTAGACCTTGTAATTGTTTCCCACATGTCTTTGCGATATGTTCAATAACCTGATGTATGCATTCCACCTCCTCGCGTGTGCAACCGACTCGGAGACACCCACGTAGATGCCACTTCGTTGAAGGAACGAGGCCTTGGCACATGATCGCAGGCAAGATAGCGAGCTCGGACTCGATGATATTGAGAGTGTTGTGATCGGCCAGGAACAGACCATAAGATATGTCGGTCGAGAGCCACGCTACATGGCGCATTAGCCCGAAGATGGAGAGCAGCGGAGTCGCAAGGTACTCACGTATGTCTTTGTGTGAACCGAATGATGCCCATATTTTCTCATTTTCATCGCCATAAAGCGTTTCAAGAACCTCGAGACCGCGCTTGTGGTTAGCCTCATCGGCTTTCCAGTCCTTGCGCGTGAAACTATGATCCTGATCTTCGGGCTTTTCTTGCTTCGCAAGAGACACGAAAGCTTCCATGACGATGGGAATGCCGTTGAGAATGATGCATTTGATCATGGCTTCTCTCATGCGGCGTACAAGACGTTGTCTCTCCGCAGACGTCTGATATGACGGCTGTGAGATGATGTAGTTGTAGAGAGGACCTATCAGCCCTGGTTGGCCGCTGGCGATAAGTGCCGCTGTCTGTCAGACACGCGCCATGTCAACTTTCAAGTCTGTTTCGGAAAGATGGTACTTACAGTGGAAAGGTACCATCCATCCTTCCTCCATCTTTCCGGGAACCGCGCTTCGGTAGCTCTGAATAGACGGTTCGCGTCAATGGAGGAGTCCAGTCTGCCATAAACAGTAAGGGTAGGCATGTACTGGAGTATGGTAGATAGCTGGGAGCAAAACCTAGCAATAGGCTGGAGAATGCTTGCGGCGGCACACATCGCGCAGGTCGTGATGACGGAGTGATTGGCAAGACACTAGTCACCAGTACAAATGGACGTGAGAGGAGGATATGGGATAGCACTTGCTGGTAAGCGCGACTAAGATGACCTGCTTCGAAGCCCCAAACTTAAACGACCAAAACAAATCACCCGTAGTATGATAGTAAATGGTCGTAGGCAAGCTATATAACGAGGAAATAGAGTTCTTGGCTGACAAACAGACAGTATCAAGTGTGAAGAAACAGCAGCGGAACAGTGAACATCTTATGCTAGTGGCAAGTAAGATGCATATACGAATTGATGTAAGACGATTACTGGCGTCGTATATCAAACTATAAGCAAGTGATATCGGTGTACGAAATGTTGTAAGACATCCATGGATTGATTGACTTTGTCCAATCAATCTTTAGGCAATCCACATGCACGTACCTGCCCCGCGACATGGTCGGGACCCAGGGATCTCTTCCGGAACGGGTCTTGAAGTCGAGATGTCTACTGTACGCACATACTAGCACAGCTAGTTAGCGACCCAGTAGAAAGGGTTGGTGGGGAAGTCTGGGGTTGTCCTCAATGTATTAATGTAATCCTAGTTTTATTTACTAGGGCGCTAGTCTAGAAGCAGATTTTTTCCTCTTACAACGCTACTCTTCTATATAAATAGTAAATATTATAAAGCTATAAAATTAACCTATAATACTAGCTTTCTCTCTACCTCTACTTAAATTACTTATTATAGTAATTAATTACTATATTTACTAACGCTAGCTACTACTTAATTTCTTCTACTATTTTAAGAAAGCGCCTTTTAGTATATATTAGCTATAGCTATACTAAAAATAGCTTTTAAAGTAGTGCTTTAAGCTTTATAAGCTTATTAGTATAGAACTTAGAGAAGCTAAGAACTAAAATATTAGTAACTTTACGCTATTACTTAAGTAAATTATATACTATTATTAAGCTTCTTAAATAAAAAGATAGCTACTTTTATTTTAAGTATACGTTTTATTTACTTCTTTTCTTTATAGTATAAGTTACTAAGTTCTTTAAGAAATAAAGCTATATAATAGATAATTCTATATTTAAAAAGTAAAGAAAAGACTAAAAAAGTAAAATAAGCTACCTAAGTATTATTAATAATAAGAGAATAGTAGTTAAAGTAGTTAAAGAGAATTATTATACTTATAATTATAATAAAGAGGTAGAAGAAGTAATAGTAGAGAAGCCTTTATATATAAGCTAGTTAGGCTTTATATTTAGTTTTATAGTATAAGCTATCTCTACTTTATAAGCTATTATAAAACTTATTATAATAACTTATTACGCATTTATTATAAAGTTATTCTTTACTACTATAAGTATATATAGAGATAACTACTTTAGATAAATAGCTTAGTAAACTACTATTACTAAATATCTCTTCTTTTAATATATATAACTAAAGTACGCAAAAAGACCTCTTAGGCTCGGGCGCGAAAGACAGAGAAGTCTGGGGTTGTTGTGCTGATGGGACGCGGCCCAAGCAGCTAGCGCGACCGGAGCGGAGAAACAAGCAGCGGAGGGTGGGATGCGACGACTGCCATCCCACTAGGTGGGCGCGCAATTCACTCCGCAACTGCGTCCCGACCCGAGCTTGCGCCTGATCGCACCGCCCCACCCCGCCGGTGGTCGCAGCCTACAAACAAGACATACGAACGCCGAAACCCCACGCGGATATCGTCGCCGAGAGCAAGCGCAAACATGGACGACTTCAACAGCGACACGGATAGCGACTACACAAGCTACTGGCGAGACTGGGTGAGTACCTGAACTCCATACATCACCAACACCGGTATTCTTTGATCGCTGGTCATGCCTCCACAAACTTTGGGGGGGTCAACTTTGGGGGAGTCGGGGTGGAACTATAGGTTCCTCATGGCGTGGTATGGTCTGCCGGCCCTTCATTGCAGGACGCGTCTGACCATGCGCCAGCGGTGACTGCGGCGAAGACGGCTATATCTCCACGCTGAGGTGCCCCCATTCATTCAACGTGGATGGAGACTATACTATCTTCTCGGCCAAATGGGGCCCGCTCATGCTCATGCAGAGCGAGTGGTGGTCCGACTGGTGGGAGGATCACGACAGCGTAGAAGAGAAGATGCAGCTATTCATTTCAACGCAGGCTAATAAAAAGGTAGTTCATATCCTCTCGAGGAAACGAATACTTCTGCGAGATTGACGAAGAATACCTCACCGATCGCTTCAACCTAACGGGCCTGAACACCGAAGTCCAGTACTACCAATATGCACTCGATCTCGTCACGGACGTGTTCGACTTCGACTGCGACGACGATATGCGGGAACAGATCGAGAAGTCGGCACGGCATCTCTACGGACTCGTCCACGCACGATACATCGTCACAACCAGGGGTCTTGCCAAGATGGTACGTCAGGCGCTCATATCCTATGCCTCGCGCCCACCACTAACAATCCACTCAGCTTGAGAAGTTCAAAAAGTCAGACTTCGGCAAATGCCCCCGCGTAATGTGCGAATCGCAACCCCTCCTCCCCATGGGTCAATCCGACGTCCCCAACGCCTCCCCCGTAAAACTCTACTGCGCCCGCTGCGAAGACCTCTACAACCCCAAATCCTCCCGCCACGCCGTAATCGACGGCGCCTACTTCGGCACGTCCTTCCACAACATCCTCTTCCAAGTCTACCCTGCAATGCTGCCACCGAAATCGCAACGGCGGTACGAGCCCCGCGTTTTCGGCTTCAAAGTACACTCTGCAGCAGCGCTGGCGCGGTGGCAGGCAGATAAAAAAGACGAGATGAAAGACAGGCTCAAGACGCTTAAGATGGAGACTGGGTTTGAGGAGGAAGATGAGGATCTGGAAGATGATGAGGACGACGATGATATGGAGACTCAGGAAGGCGTTGAGGGTGCCGTTGTGCAGCTGTGACAAATGGGCCTATAACGGCCGTTTCACTATTGTACAGATGGATGGGTGAGGGGTGGGAAGCATGTTTAGGAAGATGGAGGCACGAGTAGTTTATAGCATCCGAGAGGAACTAGCATGGGTTTGGCGATAGGCGTCATGGCTGGGTGTTAAAGCAGTATCTGATGTACCAAACGATGATCAAACAATGCAGATTATGAGTTGCATGATACCTGAAATAGTCGAAATCTCACATGTACACTGGCAGGATTGATGTGCAATTGCAAAGATTGCTAGTATTGAAGAACTACTAAAAGAGAGGGGTATCTATCTGACTTTCCTACACATCCCATTCATCCGCCTCCTGTCCAGTGAATACCCACAGAAAGCTAACCCAGGATATCACAGAAAGGTAGCGTCGCTGAAAAGTGCCAAAAGAAAGAAAAAAGATAGACCGAAGGAAGCAATGAAGAAGATAAAGTAGTTCTCATGAAGTAAAGTAAGTAAGTAAAGTAAACAAGAAAAGATCGAGAGAACGAATCAAAAAGCGCCACGCAATGCTAATCAAGCAAGAGATCCAAACCACGCTGTCGCATCGCTGTCATCATCCCATAATCCCAAAACAAAATCCAAAACATTCCAAAACATATACACATCCAAGATAATCGTTCGTAAAACCCATATTACATCGTAAACCAACAGTCCATCGTTAACCAAAAAGGTTGTGAGCAAGAAGAAGAAGAGAAGAAAAGCGCGGCTTAAAACATCTTCTTAAACCAGCTTCCCCGCTTGACAGCCGGGGCACCACCATCAACAGCCGGTCTGCCATCCCAGGTGCGCACAGGCGGCTCTTCGTACGCAGGCACGTAGCTTGTGCGGCGGGACGCCCTCTTGCGCTCTCTGTCGTCATCAACCGTCTTCATGCCTTCGTAGTGTGTAGCCCGGCGACTGTGCTTGTGCGTCCTATCGCGATCGCGTTCCTTGTCCTCTGCCTTGCGGCGCTCGGCACGTTCTTTATCGCGCTTGGGTCCCTTGCGGCCGGCGATGCGCAGGCGGATGTCTTCGTCTTGCGAGAAGGTTTCCTCGTCTTCTTCGGGGGTCTCGCGCGCGCCGGGGGCGGGGTCGAGGACGGTTTCGGAGATGGGGGGAGGGAGGGGTGGCTCGTTGGAGAGGGATTCCACCCATGACGAGGTCTTGTCGCCGCTCTTGTTGTTGCTGTATGGCATGTTTTCTTCCTCGTCGCGGGCCTGGCGCGAACTGCGGTGTTTGCGGGCCCCGCCGTTGCGCTCGTCGAAGTAGTCGGTGATGGGCTCGCCGCTGGCTGCGACGGGGTATTCGGAGTTGCGTCTGGCGGCGCGGCGCTCTTCGTGACGACGGCGACGTTCTGCGTCTTCGTCTACGTGCACTGTTCGACGGCGTTCGGTCTTTGGGCGGGGCTCTTCGCGGTCCTTGTCTTTGCGGCGCGAAGAACGCTTCTCGCGCTCTCGTTCGTCGGAGGGCGGTTTGCGCTCGCCTCGTGCCTTCTTCCGCTCCTCCTTCTCGGCCATGCGACGCAGTTGTTCCTCGGCCTCCTGGTTGCGACGCTCCAACTCAGCCATCTGACGGGCCTTCTTCTCCGCAAGAGTCGCACGCTCGTTCTCGCGCTCACGTTCGCGACGGCGCTCTGCCTTGGCCTCTGCCTCTTCGAGCTCAGCGCGCCGGGCTCCTTTGTCTCCATCGCGTTTGGATCTACGCTCAGCTCGTCGAGCCTCTCGCTCAGCATCGTAGTCCTCAGGGGTGCCATTTGCGCCTGACATCATAACGTCTTCAGGAGGTGGATGGCGCAGACTGCGGCGCTCGTGTCGCAGCCGCTTCGCCTCGTCCTCTGTTGCGCCTCCACGGGTCGTCGATCGCTTGCGATGCCTGCGCTCGTCTTCGGTCTCG